TTCCAGTGTACTGTCTGGGTGAGTGGTCAGCACCTTGGTGAGGATGGTTTTGATGGACTGCGAGCTACGTTCACAGACACCCAGCTTCCAATGTGCTTCACCGGGGACCAAATCCAAATAGATATGGTGCTGGTCACAGTATTCACTCAGTTCTCTGCTCCTGAAAGCACCATCGGGATCTAATCTTAACACTCTGGGGGTGCCGAAATAGCTGCGCCGTGCCTCTTTTAATGTGGTGATGAACTGTGCGGCTGACAGGTGTTTTTGCTTACCCTTCAAAACCACTCGTGACACCTTGAACCTCGAACCTTCGTCAACCACAACCAGGAATTGAAAATGTTCTCCCGTGTGCGGATGGACCATGTGACCAACGTCGGACGAGATCGTGTCGAACTTCGGAGGTTGGGGCTCCAGGGCCGACAAGTTCCGAGGGTTCGGACGAGCACGCTCCTCGCACGTGGAGCGCCTAAATTGTTGGGCGGCTTTCAAGATATCAGCGTGAACACCTCTTCTCCTAAGTGCCTGGACCATGTACCGAACAGGACTATGTCCAGTGGCCGAGTGAAGGAGGTGAAGTCTCTGTTGAATCTGGTCGGGACTCAGAGAACATGGGCCGGAGGGTGATCGGCGGCCATAGCCTCCGACAAAGAAACCCTGCAATGTCCACAAGTCACTTCGGACCCATGCACACGATGTTCCACACACACGCAAATCGACCCCTTCCCAAACAGATCACTTCCCTTCAATCTACCCTGAAATTCATCACACAAGGTCACCTTCGTGTCCCCCTGCAAAATCGTCTCGCAAACGCGACGCGCGAACTCACGAGTGTAGAAAGCTGATTTCTTGGTGAGGGGGCCTTCACAAGGGACATGAACCGTGGATTGAGCACACTGACATGGCATGTTCATGCGAGAGGCCATCAGAGGACTAGTAGTCATCAGTTTCCAACCCTTCGAAACGAACGATCCCGTCGGATTGCGAAGGTTCACTCGACAACCACGAACGACGGCGAACTGGGTTTGGTACCTGGAGGCCATATGTTGGATCATGGGAAGTCTCCAGGCCTGACATGATTGGGCCCATTCCCACGTCACATGGGTGCCCCGTTGGGCACAGTAAGCGAACACGATGGCACCTCCAACATACTGTTTAAGAACCTGTCTACGTTTCTCCTCCAGTTCCTGTTTCTGGGCCTCGTTTCGTTGATTGATGTTTTGCATCACAGAATATGGTCCACATTCAGTCGAAATCCAAACATGAGCGGGGTTTTCATGATCAATCTTATCCAAAACTGCATGCACTCCGGCGTTCGTCGTCAGAACGAACTGATTCCAAATGGAAGCTCTGGAAGCTGCCTTTTCGCTTCCAGTCATGTCCTGCATCGTTGAAGTCAAGACGCTATCAGGGCTGCATGCGATCTCAAGCAAGTGTACCCTGTCATGAAGGACCAAAGATTGGAGAGCTTCAGGGATCATATTTTCCACCCTCCGAAACAAGGACTTCCCAAACGAGATGAAACATCACACTGATTTCCCCGGCTTGTCTCCAACCCAGTCAGCAAGCCATGCTGACCTTGGTCACGTGCGCCGGTACTGAACTCCGGTGCTAATTGAGAGATGGGTGTTCCATCATCTCGAACGATGAGATCGATTCTGTGGCCGGGGCTCGATGCTTGCGAGGTGGCTCGTTCTTCAATGCTGCCAGTTCCTCTTTCATCTCGCCCATGGAGGTGGCCAACATCGTGATCATCATCTTCAACTCCTGTGTCTCCGCAGCTGCGTTCGAGGATGAATTGAATTCCTCTGTCATGTTGGGTGGAGCCATCTTCTCCTTGGTGGTCTGGTAGCCCTTGGAAGCTGCCGCTGTCATGGTCGGAGGCTTCCGAGTGCCGTCCTCCTTCTTGACGATGGTCCAGCCACAGAGCCAGGTGCATGAATCTCGGGTTGACAGACTCTTCCTCCTGGACCATGGTGCGAATCCATTGGCAGTAGCTGGCTTCTCCCTGAAACAGTTCCTCGTATGTCTTCGAGGCATGAGTCCCGAATCCCACTGGGTCCTGCCCGGTGGGTTCTGCCTTGTCGTAGATGGCCTGGATCCCCTTGGCCATCAGCACCTTGATGGTCTCGTTGCCGTTGGTCGCAACCCCCAGGCTCTTCACATGATCGATGAGATTGGACTTCTTGCGACTGGCCTGGTTGAGATCGACCATCATCTGGCGCAGTGGAGTCCGAGACTTGCCGGTATGAGGAGGAGCGATGCCATGTTCCTGACGAAGCTCGCTCAGGCGGCTTTCGATCTCGGCCACTGTCCATGACTTGGGAGGATGTTCTCCCAGTGCCACCATCGCTTCGATCAGCTCGGATTTGCGAGGCATCTGAGGTGCTGGCTTTGGTGAAGGGCTCTGGAGGATCGTTCCGATCACCTTGAGATGCTGCAGCTGCTGCGGCGGCTGTGAATGTGTGGTTGTGAGGAGAGTATGCCGGTATGTGTTTGGTGGGATTGTGTTGACTCACTTCACGATTCGAGTGCGAAACCGACAAAACATCATCACCTTCGGGTCTCTCAAGTCTCACGTTTTCACTTTCCAACAACCCTGAATGCTGAGCGTGAGAGTTCAACAACTTGTCTGCGCTGCTCACTGGCACCTCCCTTTCTTCCGCAGACTCGGAAGGAGGGAGGAGTTGTCCCTAGATCATGTCCTTCAGGCTGACCACTGGGGTCTTAGCCCGGTGGGAGTTGTCATACAAATTATTTGACAGGGGGAGCAGCTGATGTCCTGAACTCGATTGCTCCAATTGAATTATGCGATCACCGCTCAACTTCCTAAAGCAAATCAAATCATGTTCAAAATCGATGATCGCTCCGAGGGCCCTCAAGGCCTCAACGGAAAACAAGATAGGGCCATTGCCCTTGTCGAGCGTGTGAATTTTCAGTTCACCTTGGCGACCTCCAGCTTTCACTTTCATCCAGGCGGTGGAGAGGCATTGGTCGGATGAGGAGTTTCCAAAGCCAAAAGTTGGCTTTTCGTCCGTGTCCAGGCGGGACAACCGTGAGTCCCCGTGCTGCTGGCTGTTGAGCTCCATCAGGCGCTCGACAGCGGTCACGGACCCGAGTGTCTTGGTGGCGCCGCCATCAATCACCGCCTTGCCTTGGTGCATGGCCTCCTGAGTTGAGGGTTTGCCGTGCACCTCGTATCCAGCCACGGCCGTCATCACCTGATCGGTCAAGCAAATGAAGGGGGCTTGATGCTCGTGTTCATCAGGTGGAGAAGCCTGGAATGCCTTGGTCTTCCGTCGGCAGTCCTGGGTCTTGTGGCTTCCGCCACAGCTCAGACACTTGGCCATCAATGCCGTGGTAGCTGTGGCCTCCTTTCTCACATGCGGTTCTTGGCGTCCGGGATGTTGGAAGCGTCCTGGCGGTCCATAGTACTGACGGCTGAGTTTCACATAGTGTTGCTTCGCTCAAGCCTCTCGCAGGGTGCGACGGCCCTTGTCCACTAAGGCCATGGCCTGCTGGGCCCCAGTCTCAGCCTCATTGACCAATGCCATACCCTCGGCATTCAGTCCTGACTGAGCCAGGCATGCCATGTCAGGACTATCCTGATCGGCTGCGAAGGGATCATCTTGATCTGGTTCATCACACCACCATGCTGTGGTTCGGCTGCCCTGATCCCGGCGCTTCAGCTCGTCTTCAGACCACTGGTTGCGCAGCTCCTGGGCTACGCGGGACATGGTGAAGTTGCCCTTCAGAGCTGCCATGATCATGTTGCGTTCATTGGTATCCAATCCAGCATCCTGGAGCAAGAACCATCCTTGTCAAAGTCGGGGAGCAAGCTCGCCGACCCATCGTGGTTGGCCCCAGTGGTGTCATTCTGTGAACTGCCCCACTGAGACCATGGCTGCCGTCTTTGGTTGTGTCCGGTCCAATCCCATGATGAGGACTGTGATGGCCACTGCCAGGCATCCCACTCAGAGCCCTGCCAGGTAGTTGACTCCCGGCCCTCGGTCCCTGGATCATTGGCTTCAGACTCATTGTTCATCTCTTGGGAGTTGGCCTCATAGAATTCACCTCCTTCTTCATTCTCACCGTGAGGTTCTTCCCCTCCCCACCACGAGAGTGCCCTCTGGGAAGGTGGTGCCCCTGAGCCCTTCGAGGATGTGGATGCCCCATAGCGACCTTGTGCTCGCTTCAAAGTCATCTCCGCTCGGCTGTAAAGTTCAGCCTTGCGGGTGATGTATTCGTTCATGCTTTCTCCTCGCTTGCGCCTGGACTGTTTGAAGTAGCGGGCCATGAAGTCAGCCATCTCGGAGAGCTGAGGCAGGCCCAGGTGCTGGCGCAAATGAGTCAGCAAGGTCTGAACTCCTCCATCATGTGATGCCCATCCCGGTGGCTTTGCCAGAACGAACCGGCGTGCCGTGCCGGAAAGCTCATTCAGCAGCTTGGGACCGCACAGGTATCGCTTGTGGTAGGGAACCGTTTGTTCCCAGTGCTCTGCGGTTTCACTGTACTCCTGGAAGGTCGAAGCTGCACCGTCCCACTGGGGGACGCCATCTTTGCTGCGCTCTATCCGCTCGGACATGCTCCTAGGGGCTAGGCACCTAAGAGCTACAACCTAAGGAAAACAAATCCTACCAGCCCGTGTTGGGCTCCGCTACCATGCAAGCGGAAGAACTGCTGCTACTGTGCCCGAGTACAAATGAGGGGACAGTGGAAGGAGTCGACGGATGCGACGGCAGCAAGCGGTCGAATTGACTCCTGTTTTCACTCTTGGACCTCAAATGACTTGACAGGTCGGTAGTCGGAGCTGCGAGTCCACGTGGCAAGGTGCATATAATATATATGTTCTTATATATAATATACATAGAGAGATTCATTCTTTCCCTCTTTCTGTCGGTTTTGTGATGTATAGAAATGATAAGACACTTTCACACATGTACGTCGCGTTTTCAAGACCAACTTGGATAACATGAGGACTGCCGTGAGATGTCGCAGTGTCTTTCCCTTGCATACCGCCGTAGTCCCGTGGGGTGCGAACCCATCGGTGGCGCGATGGGCGCATGCTGGGGCTCTCAGATCTTAGGAACGCGCCGTTCGTAGCGATGCCCTTTGCTCCTAGTAGCCTTCTTGTTACTACTAGTAAGGCACTTGTTACTACTAGTAAGGCACT